GGGGAGGACGCCGGCAGCTCGCAGGACCAGGCTGGTCCTCCCGCGGCGCTGGCTGACGACGCCCCAGGGACGCGCTCTCTGCAGTTGTTCTCCCTCCCTTTCCAGGCAAGATGTGGTCTGGGAACACATGCCCGGCCCATAGATCCCACGTGGCCTCCCACACGGGCCCACGGCAGGCCCCCTCTGCCTTCTCCAGGCACCCTACCGGCACCCAGACTCCGAGTTTCGTCACCGTTTCCTTCTGTAATGCCCTCTGGGTGTCCCCAGCCACTTACCTCTGTGTTGTCTCGGGGCGGCTGGATGTCTCTTTCCCAGAGGAGAAAGCGAAATGTCCTCTACTTGGCCTTGAACCTATCAGCCCGTCTCACCATGTCCCCTTCCCTGACTGCCTCCTCTGGAAACGCAGGGTCTAGATCCCAGCAGAAACCCTCTGATTCCCTTTCCTACACGCTTCTGCATGCCGCTCTTGTCCCCATTAACTCCTGTCCTCCTCCTGCGTCCCACAGTTCTCATACGTGGACTCGGACAGCCAGCCCCTCGGCGTGGTGCAGCTGACCTTCCTACGGCTCCTCAGCGTCTCTGCCCGCCAGAACTTCACGTACCACTGCCACCGCTCGGTGGCCTGGCACAGTCCCGCCACTGGGGATCACCAGCGTGCCCTCCGCTTCCTGGCTGCCAACGAAGAGGAGCTCAGCTATGACACCAGCCCCTACATCAAAGCTGTGACGGATGGCTGCGCGGTGAGCGTTCCAGGGACACCAGATAGGGGTGGCCAGCGGGGAAAGAGAAATAGATGGAAGCAAGACGGATGGGCAGGAGGGGTAACGAGGACAGAAAGTTGAAGAAAAGTGTGTGGCTTGAAGGCATAAATGGGTAACAGGGACAGAGGAATCACTAGATGGCACTAAGAGGGAGGGATGGAAGAACAGAGAGAAGGCAGGATCTTTCCCTTGGGGGTAAATGGCCATGAGCGTAAGCACTGCGCTCCGGAGAGGGATGATTAAAGTTCAGGGTTCAGGGAGAAGGAGCGACTGGAGGGAAGTCTTCCAGGAGAGAGCAGTGGGTTGAGACTGGATAACAGCAGAACAGCGAAAGGCCGCTGGCGAAAGAGGAGGGTTGGCTCTGTGCGAGGCAGAGCCCCCCAGGTCCTGACCCGTCTGTCTGCCTCCCCTGCCCGGCAGGCGCGGAAGGGCTCCAGCCAGACGGTGCTAGAGGTGAGCACGCCCCGTGTGGAGCAGCTCCCGCTGTTGGATGTGCGCATCACGGACTTCGGCGAGCCCAACCAGAGATTTGGGTTCGAGGTGGGACCAGTCTGTTTCCTCGGCTAGGACCAAACCGCCCTCCCCCCCAAACTGTCACCCTCCCTGCCACACCCTGGCCTCCAGTGGGGCAAATCGTGCCACATCGCACCCCCGCTTCCCGAGCAGCGAAGCAACAGGACTCGCCTCCCCTTCGCGTCACGTCATCCGCCTGCTGCTGCGAGGAACGGAGGTGCCATGCCCGTCCACACACATCGAGACCGAAGTGCCGCTGTTGCTGCCTCCACTGGGGCCAGGGTCTGGAGAGATGCCAAAGAGACTTTAATGCTTAGAATAAATCTATATTTTAATATGTAGAGAGACAGAGAGGAAAAATTTTAACTGATCCACTGGCTACCTCCCTCGGCACCCACCAGTGCTCCCTTCCTCCCAGTATCTCCCTCCGAATTCCAGTGCTCTGTTTCCCAGAACTCCCAGGGCTTCTTTTCCATGCTCCTCCCAGAGTTCCCTGTTCCACAAAGCCAGGGAACCCCTCGACTAGCACAACTGCAAAGCAAAGGGAACGTTACTTTGGTTTCCCCTCTGACTGGAAAGCCAAAGGGTTTTCTAGCCTGATGTGGCGAGCAAATCCGAGACGACGCTGTTAGGCTGGTCGAACACCACTAGCAGGTGATTGGGATTAGCACCGAGCGAGCTCTGTCCACCTCAGACAACAGACTGACCTATGTGGGCTCCTTAGTCTGGCCCAGCCTAACTAATATCAGTAAGGCTAAACAACAGTGGAGTTACCTCCTAATGTCCTTACTTTGAAAATCAATATTACTCAATCTGAAAAAGGTTCTCTGTAATATCAGGGTGTTATTTCTCTTCCCTGCTGCACCAGTTAACTCAAAGGGGTTCCAGTCCCTATCCTCAGTCCTACCTCCAGTCATTACAAATTATCTTTGTTACAAGGGCTGTATTTAAAAAGCTTCCCACGAACCCCAGCCCTAGCCCGTGGAAGGAGATGAGGAAGAAGGACATTGTGTTTTTACTGTGTTTTTTATTTTTAAATTAATTATTATTATTTAAAGGAGTGGTTACAACCGTCAGTACTGGTCCCTGCTGCATAATTTTGGATTTCCCCAAAACAAGAAGCGAATTTCTGCATGGAGATTAACCCAGGCCAGTGCCTGGGGGAGGAGGGAGGGGAGAAAAAAAGTAAAAATTTATTTTCTTGGTGCCGTCCGATTAAAAAAAAAGTTTAAAGGGGCACCAGTCTTTGCTTTTTTGTTTTCTTAAAAAGCAGAGGCGTGCCCCCTGGTGCTGAGCCGGCGGCCTGTATAATGTTTTGTAAGTAATTTTTTAAGTTGTATTGTAATATATCATCTATAATTTTGCTGCTTTTTGGGGGTTGGTTTTTTTTTGTTTGTTTGTTTTCCTTCTCTCCCTTTCCCTAGTTTCCCTGGCAAGCTTCGCCTCTATCATGAAATTCCTCCACCCAAGCAGATGGGTTCCCATCCCGGGGAGACAGTAGGGAATAAATAATACATGCACAGAAATACACCATTAGTAAAGTCACCTGCAAATAGGCTGCCCTGTCCAGAAGGGGCTGACGAACATCCTGGCCACAAAAATGCCTTTCAATGGCTTCTTACAGAGGTCTTGCAAACTAAAAGAAAAAGCAATGACTTAAATGAGCTCCAAGAAAACACAAGACACCGAATCTTGGCTGCTGGGAGCAAGCCCTGCTGGTGCGCCCTTCTGTCTGCGATTCTGTAGGGATTTTGGCTCACGGAGAGGCAATACCGTCTGAGATGGAGGTGGCTGTGCCAGAGGCCCGGTGCTCTTTTCCATGCGTGGGGATGGGGTTTGTATGGGGGGGGGGGAGTCCCCTCATGCTGAACCACGGGTAACCCCTCACCTAAGGGGAACGGGGATGAGACTGTGAAATCTCTCTGGAACGTGAGCGATCTCTGGGCCCCAAGGACCGCGCTTGCTAAAGTCACTGGGATTTTTTTTTTTCCCCCCAGTTCCCAAGCAGTATTATGACTTAATGCTTCTTTAATATCAAGCAAGCTTCCGGCAGCCCCATGGGACAGCTGGGAATCTCACTCCCCCCACAGAAAGACACCCCCCCCAGCCCCCTTGCTCTCTCTTCTCCCTCTTCCTAAGGTTGGAGCTTCCTGCTCCTCTCAACGCTTGCCCACAGATCCCTCCGCTCGCATTTGGTTGCAGTCCGCCACAAAAGCATCTTTTCCACAACCTTTCCCATGCGGTGCATCCTGTTCCCCACCC